AGTCGCAAGTTATGCAATTAGTTTCGTAATTAGTTTATATTTAATACTCCATGCATATATCTAAACATTTGATGTGACAGACCTATAAAAACCAAACATGACCGAATTTAGCCTCTGCCTCCCTCACGTCGCGTTGGCAGGAGCACTTGGCGACGCAAGCATCACGCATAATCATGGTCACAATACACATCTAAACAAACTCTTAAACTATTCTAGGACGACAAACCTACTCACTCTTTTTTAAATTATAAGATGGTTGAGTTTTTAGATACATAATTTTAGTTATCTAAAAAAGTCAAAATATGTCTTCCAATTTTAAAGGGGTGGTAGTATACTGCTACATTAATCAAATTAAAGCTTTGTGCTGGTTGTCAACACTACTAACACGTACGTCTATAATACTAAACAACAATGTCAAATCATCGTGCATAATCATGGTCACTTCACTTGGCAAGCAAGCGTCACGCATCACCATGAAAGGGTGGCCTACCGACCGACCTTTTTTTTTCGGCCTTGCGGCGGGTGATCTATTACTAAAGCACCCATCATACTATGGGCCGACCATGCGTTGCATTGATCTATCGATCACCGAGTCCTCGTACCAGCAAAAGTCTCGCTGCACTGTGCACTCGAGCTGGGCAGCAATCGTGGATTCGCCACACTTTTTTAATTCCTTGCTGCACATGCGCTGGCCGTACGGACGTTGGTGCGTGTGCGTCGCGCACGGAGCACCACTGCACCACGTTCTAGTTGGGCCATGTGCTGCCGGTGCCATGATGAGCTGCGACCCGAGCCCGAGGGATTTAAAGCAGGCCGCGTGCCAGTTCGTTCGGCCTTTAGCATTTTCTGTTAGGCCAAATGGATGTACGGCCCATTGCAAAAGCGAGGAAGGATATCCTCCTCCAAAACAAACGCAACAGTGGGCTGCTTTACTCCTGTCCTATGGGCTCTATCTGCATCCAAACCATGCAGCTGCAAACTGAATCACTCAAAATATCTTCGCTGCTTTTTTTTATATAAAAAATATCTTCGCTGCTTTATGATCACAGGTCACGGCCTACACCCTACGCAACCATCTTTCCGAGTTTGGATCTGCTGTGGCGCTTAACTGATACCCCTCCGCTCGTCTTCCTCTCTTTGCCTCCATTTGGTGGCCAAGAGAGTCAAAATGTCAAATGAGTGAGTTTCATGAGTGTTGTCTGCTTTTTAAATATTGCCTATATCTTTTGGAGCCTAAGGTACTCAAGTGACCAAGCTAAGAAACGCAATTTTCAGAATCTCATACATACTAGTATATATCAACATCTGTATTGACTGTATATATAAAAGAGCCTAGCATGGAAGTAGAGAAACAACAATTTTTTTTGAAAGAAAGTAGAGAAACAACATTACACAAAACTATAATAAGCATCTAAGCACAACACATACGTATTATATATCTCGTACGTACTATATATCATCATCGTCATTTTGGATGCAAGGGAAATTTGGAACTTGGAAGCATATATAGGAATGGGTGCGTGTTTGAGGGAGCATGACCTGCTTGCGTTCAAATGGTTCTACGAATAGTGGCTGGTGAAGGTATTTTGTGGTGCTGTGCCGATTGTTGCCTTGGTCACTTCGGTTGGATGCTTAAACTGATGTCAGGTCGTACAATCAGTCAGTTAAGGAATGTTACCCAGCTGGGGTTCTAAGAAGATAAATGGTTAGCTAGGGAACCAATCTCTTGAAACAAGCAACGGTTTCAGAGGCGTTTAGCATGATACCTCTAAATGTCTACCTCAGAGTTAGAATGGCATTAATAGGGAATAATCTACTATAATGGAATAATTTGGTTGCACGCCTTCAGGATGTTGAACTACACGATGGAAAATTTAATATAACATCGCCTTTCAATAAAGGACAGTTCTTTCACAGTTTGGTCAATGTATGCAAACCTAAGAAACAGTGACATCAAAGTCTCACAAGAAATTCAAAAGATGAAACTTCCCTTGACGCCCTGTTCGCTTGAACGCTTATCAGCCATGGTGTAATGTTTTTCTTTCACAACAAATCAACTTCAGCCGGCTTATTAGTCGTAGAAACCATCAGCCGAATAGCGGTCTACTTATAGAAGATAATTTCTACTTATAGAAACCATCAACCTCCTTAAATCTATGTGGTTTATTTCTCAAAACAGAAGACAATTTAGCTAGAACGAATTGACATGGGTCTACTTACTATTGTTTCTATAGTAATATGTATACTATTCAACGTCTCTTCTTTTAATGTTGTTATGCTAAATTTCTTTGGAGTACGAGCTGTGTTTGTTGTCACTCCACCTTTGAATGTGGAGAATTTACTTGGTGGTTAGTGTAAGTAGGAAGGGAATGAAAATATTTTTTTGTTACTAACAAGGGCAACAACTTTCCGTTGGTCTATATAGTTCTCAAGAAACGATGTCGTGTTTAATAAATGCCAATAAAAAATCTTATTACAGGTCCTATTCTTTGGGACACATCGGCTCCATTTTAGGAGTCAATTGCAATATAGTGATGCCGCTAAGTTATTCATCGTCCATGCGTGCTCTACATTAGAGTCAGTGGATGTCGGTGTTTCGAGTTGTCACCAACAAGTAAAATTCTAATATTGCGCGTCTGGTCTGAATGGTGTGCTAAGAGGACACGAGGTTTATACTGGTTCGGGCAGAATATCTCTACGTCCAGTTTATTGCTGCTGCTCGTGTTAATAGCACTGAAAGTTCGTAGTAGGGGTTACAAATGGTCAAGAGAGGGATATGTCCCAAGTCTCTGGAGAGAGGAGCGAACGGGTGCCGAGAGCTTGATCGCCTCTCGGCTGTGTGCTTGTGTTTTCTAATCGGTTCGGGATTCGAGTCCGAATCGGTGTGATGTGTTGCGATGTGATCGATTCGAGTCTCCTGGAGTCGAGAATTGAGTGGAGTTGTGTTCAGTCGAGTTGAGTCCCCTTCATGGAACGTCCTGCTTTCCCTTTTATAGGCCAAGGGAAAGCACATGTTACAGTCGAGGGAAAAGGGGAGAAGGAGAAGGAGAAGAGGTCCTTTAGGATCGCTGGATCCTTCTTTTTCTTCATGCGGGTTCCGCCGACCCTGTAGACGTCAACAGGGACAGCTCCACATCGCGGCCCTGTCCGTCACTGACGCCATGCGCAGGCGTCGTCTCCCGGTCGTGGCGCTCCACTCCGTCCTAACGGACGTCATGGTGAACTGACGCGCCTGTCAGTGCCCGTACGAGGGTTAGGCAGAACAGCACCGGTACGTCCGATGCTGTTCCTGATGTGAATCCCCAGGTATGGCCCGTCACGACCACGGGTTACATCGGGGCATGCCGGTCACCTCCCTGGTGTCAGAGCTTTGACCCAAGCCCATTCGGTAGGACCTGGAGTGGTTGGCGGCGGTATGGGTCTCCGTCAGGCGAGGCGGAGCCCCTGGCCTTGGGGTCGGGCGAGGCGGAGTCCTCCCCTAGAGGCAGGGCGAGGCGAAGTGTAGACCCGAGGGTCGGGTGAGGCGGAGCCCGCGACCTCGGGGTCGGGCGAGGCGGAGCGCAGACCCAAGGGTCGGGCGAGGCAGAGCGCAGATCCAAGGGTCGACGAGGCGGAGACCGCGACCTCGAGGTCGGGCAAGGCGGAGTCCTCCCCCAGAGGTCGGGCGAGGCGGAGCGTAGGCCCAAGGGTCGGACGAGGCGGAGTCCTCCCCAAAGGTTGGGCGATGCGGAGCGCAGTCCCAAGGGTCGAGCGAGGCGGAGCCCACGGCCTTAGGGTCGAGCGAGGCGGAGTCCTCCCCCTGAGGTCGGGCAAGGCAGATCGCAGACCCAAGGGTCGGGCGAGGCGGAGCCCGCGGCCTCGGGGTCGGGCGAGGCGGAGTCCTCCCCCAGAGGCCGGGCGAGGCGGAACGTAGACCCAAGGGTCGAGCGAGGCGGAGCGCAGACCCAAAGGTCGGGCGAGGCGGAGCCCGGGGTCTCGGGGTCTGGCGAGGCGGAGTCCTCCCCCGGAGGCCGGGCGAGGCGGAACCAGCCCTAAGAGGTCGGACGAGGCGGAGCTTGCGCACCTAGGGGTCGGTTGGAGCTGTAGTCACACTCTTGACTGCTCGGATGTATCAATGTTGATGGTTATTAGCTCCTTCTCTTTGGATACCCTAGTATTGGTCCCCGACGGTGGTACTGGTGGCTTTTTTGCTTCTCATGAATGACCTTTCGGTTTTGCGACTACTTTGTGAACTTTCAATTATTTGGTCGTGCGGACATCTGAGCGTGCAAATGTGGTGTAATAAGTGTATCCTGGTTCCTTTGTTTTAAGGATCGATGAAGCTGAATTCTTTTCATAATATAAGGAAACATCTGTTACCGAAAACATATATGGTTCAATTGCTTTTCTTGTTCCAAAAATACATCTGCTACAGAAATGATCGGTAAAGGACACCAATTGGTAAAACCAATACGTGGTTTTGAATTGGCGTAGTACAATACGTAACAACACAGTAAAACACTAACAATTTTTCTGGCAAATAAAATCTTGAAAACGATAGTAGAAGTGTTTTTCCTCAAAAAAAAACCGTAACCATGCACGCATGCATGGCCCAGCCAACTTCAGACGCTCCGTAGAATATCCAGTAGCCGCCACCGTCCTTGTGTCTTGTGTGGATCCGCGCGCTCCTCCATCCGGCACACGACACGAACACCAGCCGACGGCTTCCACGGTTCCACCACAACGTTCTCTGTTGCGTTGCGTTGCGTTGGCCCTGCAGCAGCACGCCGCCGTCCACCGAGCCCCTCGCTTAGCCGACACGCGGGTCCCACAGGCAGCGCATCCGCCAGCCGGGCCCCACCTGGCAGCGGGGCTAACAGGTCGGTTTCCGTTTGCCTAGCAGCACATATAAAAACCTCCAGCCCCGATCGTTCTCGTGTCTTCCACGGCGCCATTTTGTTCAAATCTAGAAAAATCAAAACTCAAAGCATTCCAGCCTTCTCCTCCCCTGACCGGAAGCGATGGAGGTGGAGACCACCAGGCCGCCGCCGCCGGCTTCCGCGCCGTTCATGCCGTCGTCGTTGGCGTCTGCCTCGGGGCCAGCGGGCGGCGGGGAGGAGTTCACGGAGGACGATCTCGCGGCGGCGGACCAGCTGGTGCAGCTCAGCGTCAGCGTCGGCGGCGAGGAGGACCAGTGCTGTTCGTCGTCGGCCTGGTCGGTGAACAACGCCGAGAACGAGGATGACGAGGAGGAGGAGGGCGCCGCGGGCCGGGGGCTGGTGGACCGGAGGGCTAGGAAGCGCTACCGGCTGGTGTCGGAGCTCTACGCCGCCACCAGGCAGGTGAAGGCGGCCGGCGCCGGCGGTGGTGGTGGCAGCAGGAGGCGGAAGGGCAGGGACGGGGTGGGGAATTGAGAGCTGGAGATCGATCGGGAGGCCGGATCGAGCCGACATGAATGCAGTGCCGAAGTTTCGAGCCGACATGGTCTGGGTTGGGCTTCTTGAGCCCCGTGTAAATATTTCCTTTTTTTTTTGTTTCTGTATAAAACAGTTTTGGGCGAGTGCTTGTCTCGTTTACTGAAGTTTTGAGATCGAAATCTGAACTTCTACAAGTGTTCGATTCAAATAATCTAACCTTCAAGGCTTCAACTGCAATTTTTTGTTTCCGCTGTGTGCGCAGGTTAACTTCTTTCTGAATTAGTACTGTTATTACCAGTAATTAACGCGTGATGGCTTCTGTAACTTCTACACGTATGGGTCGCTGCTTGGCTAGCCTAGCTAGGATGAAGAGTACAGCATGTCCGTTGAGCTTGCTAGAAATAGATGACACGCTCGGCAAACGATCGACTAAGCTTCGTTTAGAAGCAATGGTGCATGCATGTACGTATACGCGTCGATCTGGTGCTCCCACCAACAAGAAGGCAGCAACACGCAAAAGGACTTAAGATCGGTCTGCATGCCATCTTTTTTCTTTCCGAAACACGGTATAGACGACTAACACATAATCCATTCCTCAATGGGCGGCGCCTTTTTGTTTCCCGCGTGTAGCGAGCGAACCGCATGACCTCAACTTGCTCCGGGCCACTACGCAAACATCGCGGAGCCGTTGGTCCGCCTAAGGCCACCACCTCATGGGCGCTTATGTGTTTGTCGGGTAGGATTTTTGTCGAGCTCGAACCACTGTGGGCGAGATGGAGGAAAGGAAAGAGAGGGGAGGGAGAGGAGAGGGTGAAGCGCACAGTACGAGAAAGGCGCGAGGTAGGAGCCGAAGCCCTGCGGCATGTCGTTGTTAGCATGTCACCGGCGCCATTGCAACATGTGCAACACCCGTTCTACTTTTAAAATATCCAGATGAAACATTTGCAACATACGTCTGAAGACAAATGAAACATGTGTCTGAAACACTTGCAAAAAACACATGAAACACTTGAAAACCTTTGCAACACGTACGCAACATCCAAATAAAACATTTACAACACATGCGTAAAACATATGCAACCTCCAGATAAACACACTTGCAACATACGTCGAAAAAACAGAAGAAACATTGGGGACAGACGTTTGCAAGATAAGTGTACAATTATTGCAACATATGCAACATCCCGATCTACTTTTGCAACATGCATACGAAACCCTTGCAACATACCTCTAAAACAACTAAAACACTCAAAACATACGCTTGCAACACATGCTTTTCAGTGCAATGTCGCCTTACTGCTTGGACGAATGTTGCTCGTCCTTGTGGAGCTCGATGCCGACACGGGAGCTCGATGCCACGGAGTGCTCGGAGGTCACCGGTGCAGAGCTCGCCGGCGGCACGGACCTAGGTAGTGGCCGTGGTTGGCGGATGGAGCGCGCCACGACGGAGGCGTGAGTTTGACGACGACGGGCGGCGAGGCCGCACCGACGCAGCGGGCGCAGGTAGAGTCCATCCCACGAGCGGGTGCGGCACTGGCGAGCGGAGTCCGTCCCACGATGGCGGGCGGCACGGGCGAGCGGAGTCATCCCAAGAGCGGGGGCGCACAATGTAGAAGCGGGCATGATGCGCGGGCTGGGTCCGTGAATGAGTGCATGAGGATGGGTCCGTGAATGAGTGGATGAGGCTCGTCCGGATGAGATTGAAAGTGCATTTGCCCTCTATGTGGGTTTTGGTCTATTGATGACATACAAATTAGGGACTAATGAGATCTTAATGAGATATATTGCAGCTTTAGTCCCTTGAAAGTTTTAAATAATTGATTTAAGATGAAATGGTATCCCTCAATTCTTCAAGTGCAAAAGGCGAACGAACCCAAAGCACGCTTCAAGCATTTTTAATTTTGTTTTGGGTTTAGGTATGCCGCACTATAAAGAGGGATGCAAGTTTAGATGGTCTAAGAAAGATAGAGTGCTCAAGCATAAAAATAAAATCAAAAGAGAAACACAAAATCACTTCATGAACACTTAGATATAGTTCTTGGACTTTTGGTAGTCGGAAGTCCCGGCGTGGGCCGGGAGTTCCGACCATCAGAAGTTCCGACATTTGGTGTCGGAAGTTCCGGCACTTGAGGACTTAGCCGTCAGCCCGCCTACGCTCGCTCGTCCATCGGAAGTCTCGACGGGAGTCAGAAGTTCTGGCTCCCACCGGAAGTCCCGACGCTTTGGGACTTAGCCCCCTAGCTCGGCTCTAGGTCAGGAGTTCCGACGTGAGTCGGAAGTCCCGACTACTGAAAGTTCTAGCGCTCCACCGAAAGTTCTGGATCCAGCTATGTTGACCACCTTTGACTGTGCCTTGAACTATGTTTTATAAAAGGGCCGGAAGTTCCGACGATCTGTGTTCAGAACTTTCGACCCATATCTGAACAATTGAATTTTACTATGAGTATAAATAGCTCTCTCCTCTCTTCTAACCATAGAACCACTCATTCATTGCTCACCAACCTTCGTCCAAAACAGCTCTCAAGCATTCAAGGCACCCCTCGCCTCTCCCCTTTGTTCCAATCTTTGATTCCCTTAGGGTTTTGAGTGAAAGGAGAGTGGATTGAGTGAGAGAATCACTTTGGCAAGCTTGAGCACTTGATTTCTTCATCAAGCTGGTTGGATTTGTGTCCATTACTCTTGGGTTTTTAGAACCCTAGCCGGATAGGCATCGCCCAAGAGATTCCATCTTGTGGAAGAGCCTTGGAAAGTTTGTATTACCCTTGATTTTTTTAGTGAAAAGCTCAAGTAACCTTTGTGGTTGCTTTGAGAGAGGCAAGGAGGTGGAAGAGACTTCAACCTTGGTGATCACTTCAACAACGAGGACGTAGGAGCTCCTTTGTGGGGTTGCCGAACCTCGAGATAAATCCTTATGTCCTACGTGCTTGTTGTTGTTGTGATTTATTCTATCATATTTGTTCTTGTTAGTTTGTCTTCTTCTCCGACTCTTCTATTAGGGTTTGGACTCAATCTATGGAGTGGTGACCTTCCGGCGTCAAAGGAGCAACCCCAACACTTCATCTTACCACTAGGGAGTGGGGTTGTAAGATATCTTTTACTCAAAGTTCATTTTAGCACTTGTAGTGAATTTCACGTAGGTGCTCGAACTCCCTACTGCTTATGCCGAAACTTTCAAATTCACCGCCGAAGTTCTCGCCCAAATAGTCGAACTTCCTCATCGCCACCGATATTTGACTTTGAGTTTACGTAGAAATTTTTAGATACGCCTATTCACCCCCCTCTAGGCATTGTTTAGATCCTTCCAATTGGTATTAGAGCAAGGTCTTCTTTTAGCACTTCATCGTGTGAGAAGAAACAATGCCTGAGACCGACAAGATGCAAGTTTTACGCCACCGAGATGGCCAAGAAGATAGCTAAAGAGTTGATGGCTACTCAAGTCAAGTTCTTTCAAGATGAAATGAAAAAGATGCAAGATGAGATGAGCAAGATGAAGGAATAATTAAGCAAGAAGGTTGATGATGCAATAAGTGACAAGAATGATGCAACAAGTGGCAAAAATGAAGCAAACAAAGATGCCGCTAGTGATATTGGAGCCGGTGAGCATGCTTATGGAAAGGGAATATATTTGAGCATGAACTTCGACTATGGACAACTCATCAAAGGTTCACCTCTACATACCCCTTCCGTCAACATTCGCAAGCCACCTCACTTTGATGGAACGAGATACACCGATTGGTCCTACAAGATGAAGATGCATCTCATTGCCGTAAGACTTTGGGAAGTTGTGGATGTTGGTGTGATGATTCCTACCGATGAAGATAGAGAGTTAACTATGGAAGAAGTACACAATCTCCATCAAAATGCACAAGCTGTAGTTTTGCTTGTGTCAAGCTTAAGTCCGGATGAGTTTAGAAAGGTAAATGAAATGGAAAGTGCAAAGCAAATTTGGGATACTTTGAAAGTGTCATTTGAAGAAGATAAGTGTGTGAGAAAAAGGCAACATTGAGTTGCTTCATGGTGAATTGGAAAGATTTGTGTTCTTGCAAAATGAAACTACACAATGCATGTTCGATAGGCTTATGGCATTGGTAAACCGCATAAGAGCTCTTGGAAGCACCGAATGGGACGACAACAAGGTTGCTAGAAAGATATTGAGAACCTATAGAGACAAGAACAATATGCAAGCATCCGTGAGCATGGAAAGGCCCGGTTATGATGAGATGACACCTCAATAAGTTCTTTCAAAGCTCAAGCATCATGAGTGTCTAGATGAAGATGCAATCAATCCTCACAATCAAAATCCTAATGCAATGGGATACAACAAGAATGTAGCCCTAAAGGCAACTCAAGCTCATGAAGGCAAATGCTCTAGTCAAGAGAAGAAGAAAATAAAGGATGATTCATCAAGTGAAGAAGAAGAGTCCAATGAAGAAGTTGCACTCATCATTAGAAACTTTAGAAAGTTTATAAAGAAGAAGAGTAACCAGAAGACTTACGGTGATGGGAAAAGAAGGAACAAGAAGAGGTTTTGCTATGGTTGTGGCCAAACCAGACACTTCATAGCTGATTGTCCTAATGAGAAGAAGCACAAGCATGACAAGGATGAAGACAAGAAGAACAAAGGCAAGAAGAGAGGTGAAGCTCATCTTGGTGAAGAGTGGGAGTCAAATGATAGTGACTCAAGTGATGATGAGAAGAAGAAGGGAGCTGCAAACATCGCCATCCACCACTCTTCGTCACCGACCATGATCTTTTCCGACTCGACTTCACCACCAAAACTCTTCCCCAATTTATCTTCATCACCAAGGCTCTTCTCCAACCTCATCGACAATGACTACTACACTCCAACTTGCCTCATGTCTAAGGGGGAGAAGGTACATGTCTCATCCGATCCCTCTAGTGATGAGTATGATAGTTGTGATGAGAACATAAAAGAACTTGAAGCAACCATGATAAAGAAATTTGGTAAAAAGGCCTACACTAAAATAAAAATGCTA